TATACATGGATACATTGCATATACCTGTGCATGCTAACTGTGCCACTAGAGATCCTGGTTCGAATCCAGGCTCTGTTGCAGCCGGCCGCGACCGGGAGACTCATGGGCGGCGCACAATTGGCCCAGCATCGTCCAGGGTAGGGGAGGGAATGGCCGGCAGGGATGTAGCTCAGTTGATAGAGCATGGTGTTTGCAACGCCAGGGTTGTGGGTTCGTTTCCCACGGGGGGCCAGTATAAAAAAAAAAAAAAAAAATATGTAATCACTAACTGTAAGTCGCTCTGGATAAGAGCGTCTGCTAAATGACTAAAATGTAAATGTACATAGACAACAATACTGTACAAAGCCAACAAACACATTGGTCTGTTTGCCTTCAGGGACTCCTCTCAACAGCAGCTGCAAGAAGCAACAGGAGCCAAAAGACCCAGAACAGCTTTGAGAGAAGAGGAGAAGCAGAGGCTGTCTGAAGAGGTCTGCAACACCATCCTGGATCACACCAAAGAAAGGTTATCTTTCTCTGGCCACCTTGTGAGTGCTACCTTACTGCAAGCAGACATGTTTGAAAGGTACTGCCATTCAAAAAAATAAAAAATCTGTTCATGTTCATTTTTACAAATCTATACAATTGGCCAGAATATGGTTGTTCATATTTACAAATCTATACAATTGGCCAGAATATGGTTGTTCATTTTTACAAAGCCATACATATTGTTTATGCAGTGTTGAGGAATGTGAAAGAACACCCTTGATTATTTTTACTGTGATAACTTATTTTGCTTTTGTAAGCCAACACTTTTGAGATCAGTCAATAAATGCTTCTGGTATTGACTTATATGCTGCCCCTGTCTTCATGTTGTTGCTGGACATATCTTTTTAAAAATGTGTGTAGGTCACCTAAATCATCAGAAAAATTGCCCCTCCTGAGAATTTTTTCAGGAGCCGCCACTGCTCAGTGCCTTCTTTCAACATCTTTTAACATACCATTCAAGGACCATGCTCATTTTTGTACTGAACCATAGGCGCGCCAGTGGCAGCAGACTCTGAAGGTCCATGAGAAGTGCACCTACAGTACGCTGGATTGCATCCCTGAGACGACTATGGGAAAAATCTGTTGATGTGCCCTTGAGCAAGGCAGTTAATCCTAATTGCTCTTGTAAATCACTCTAGATGAGAGCGTCTGGTAAATTATGCTTTTTTACTGTAGTCTCAGAGAGGGGAATCCTAACATTTTCACTGATTCTCCCATTAACATCAACGCATTACTAAGTGAAAATTCGACTTGGAAGTGGAAGCTAGGATTTGCCCCAGAGACATTGAGGATAAATTACTAACTTGACAAGTTATTGAATATGACAATTGACGAATAATGAAATGATGTATGCTCTGTTGTTTTCCAAGACCAGGATTACTTAGCCATTGCTGTTTTTCAAGACAAGAAAGTGTTTTGTGTTTCTGTAGAACGTGCCCTTTAGTCTTGGTTCTGGTCTCCTAATCCTAATCCAAACCATTTTAGAGAAGAGAACAAAGATGGTTCTGTATTCAGAGTCAAAGGGACTTCATATGTATCCCATCTCCTGTCTTTGCCTCAAAGTATTTGAGTTAGCATAAAAGCACTGTCCAGGTGATTGATGGTAAAAGGACAGGCAGTAATCAATTAAAGTTTTTCCCCTCATCAGACTCCAATGACGGGGAGAATATTAGTGAGTACATCACCAAGGAGAGAGAGAGATGTTTCTCATTACATAATGCTTATGCCCCGATTAGACCGATAGCGTCATTGCATCAATGCTGCATAATCAATTCTGCAATCCAAAAGTTTTTGTGTATATGTGTGCAACAGAAGTTCAACATTCACCTTTTGCTACTATTTCTGTTAAGTTTGCGTATAAAATTTGATGCATCCTTTGGATAAATCCAACATACAGTATATATATAAAAGCATGTGGACACCCTTCAAATTAGTGGATTCGGCTATTTCAGCCACAACTGTTGCTGACAGGTTTATAACATCGAGCACACAGCCATGCAGTCTCCATAGACAAACATTGTTAGTAGAATGGCCTTACTGAAGAGCTCAGTGAAATTCAACGTGGCACCGTCATAGGATACCACCTTTCCAACAAGTCAGTTTGTCAAATTTCTGCCCTGCTAGAGCTGCCCCGGTCAACTGTAAGTGCTGTTATTGTGAAGTGGAAACATCTAGGAGCAACAACGGCACAGCCGTGAAGTGGTAGGCCACAAAAACTCACAGAATGGGACTGCCTAGTGCCGAAGTGCGTAGCATGTAAAAATGGTCTGTCCTCGGTTGCAACACTCATTACCGAGTTCCAAACTTCCTCTGGAAGCAACGTCAGCACAAGAACTGTTCGTAGGGAGCTTCGAGAAATGGGTTTCCATGGCCGAGCAGCCACACACAAGCCTAAGATTACCTTGCGCAATGCCAAGCGTCGGCTGGAGTGGTGTAAAGCTCGCTGCCATTGAATTCTGGAGCAGTGGAAACGCAGTGATGAATCACGCTTCACCATCTGGCAGTCCGACAGATCAATCTGAGTTTGGCGGATGCCAGGAGAACGATACCTGCCCAAATGCATAGTGCCAACTGTAAAGTTTGGTGGAGGAGGAATAATGGTCTGGGGCTGTTTTTCATGGTTCGGTCAAGGTCCCTTAGTTCCAGTGAAGGGAAATCTTAATGCTACAGCATACAATGACATTCTAGACGATTCTGTGCTTCCAACTTTGTGGCAACAGTTTGGGGAAGGCCCTTTCCTGTTTCAGCATGACAATGCCCCCGTGCACAAAGCGAGGTCCATACAGAAATGGTTTGTCGAGATCATTGTTGAAGAACTTGACTGGCCTGCACAGAGTCCTGACCTCAACCCCATCGAACACCTTTGGGATGAATTGGAATGCCAACTGCGAGCCAGGCCTAATCGCCCAACATCAGTGTTCGACCTCACTAATGCTCTTGTGGCTGAATGGAAGCAAGTCCCCGCAGCAATGTTCCAACATCTAGTGGAAAGCCTTCCCAGAAGAGTGGAGGCTGTTATAGCAGCAAAGGGGGGACCAACTCCATATTAATGCCCATGATTTTGGAATGAGATGTTTGACGAGCAGGTGTCCACATACACTACAGTTGACCGGGGCAGCTCTAGCAGGAAAGGTGGCATCCTATGTTGGTGCCATATTGAAAGTCACTGAGTTCTTCAGTAAGGCCATTCTACTGCCAATGTTTGTCTATGGTGATTGCATGGTTGTGTGTTCGATTTTAAACACCTGTCAGCAATGGGTGTGGCTGAAATAGCCAAATCCACTAATTTGAAGGGATGTCCACATACCTTTGTATATATAGTGTACTTTTGGTCATGTAGTGTATGCACCACACAGAACACAGTCAGAACGCACTGAAACTGCCTCTGCAACGCAATCAAATTAAATCAATTGTTATTTGTCACATGATTCATAAACAACAGGTGTAGACTAACAGTGAAATGCTTACTTACAATGCTGCAAGGCAAACGCAGCGTTCCATTGGAAACAAATGTATTTCTGGTGTACCAAAACGCAATGATGTCAGTCTGATCGAGATGTTAATACTGTTTCTAACCCACCATACACCAAACCAATCACAGTCCAGTTATGTACGATAACTGTTTCTCACTCACAAAACCTAAGAGACACATCAATGCACTAACAGAAGTTAACACAGCATTATTGTTTTCACCACTGGAATATATATTTTCTAACCCTTCAAACCACAAGGCTTCTTAGCTTTAGCGTTAATAAAAACAACAAAAGCTGTTTTATACGTAAAGTAGTTTGGGGATGAGGTAAGTGGAAAAACAGAAAGGTGCGATTGTTGTTATTGGTAACACAGCACATGGCTTGGTTCAGCTTCGTGTGCGTCTCCTATTTGCTTGAAGGCTCCGTTTATATTTGCCCAAAGTTTCCCTGAGCTATGCTTGTCTGAACTATTACCAAAGCTCTGACAAAACCCGGTTTGTTTGAGTCTCTGTAAAAACGCACATTTTCGCCAGATGTTCCCCTTATTTCTTTCCACAGCCTCATAAAAAGCTTTTTTTTAAAGGGCATAATTACATCAGGATATGCTTGTTGTTGTCCAGTCCTAACCGTTACAGAGAAAGTAAATAGGGAAAGTAATATGAAAACACCTTGAGGCAGTAGCTTACTTGAAAGGCATCAATCCCCAGGTCTTGAGCTGCGTGTCTAATAGGTCCCTTGGCGTCACATTTCACCCTCGTAAGTCCCAGAGCCACACACACACTTCCATTTCCTGAGAAATCCAGACCCTACAAACCTATAAATACTTCCTTCACTGAGGAGTCTGTTTGCCTCAAGAGACAGAGCTCTTTAACTGATTACATTTATTAGAATAACACGGCAAGAAGAACACTTCTAGTTCCTCAGTGCAATTGCAGCTATCTCTTTAATGTTACCTTTCCTCGTATCTTCCCATTGCTATACAACACAACAATAAACACTATCTGTCTCCATTCTTACTTTGACCTGTTGTCTGTCTCTGTTTTGAACGTCAAGTCTCTCCTCTCTTTCCTTCCTGTGGTCACTGACCTCTAACCATGGTGTATTCCCCAGTGCTCCCTGGCTGTGAAGAGGGAGGTGATTCAGAAGCTGGCCAAGATGGCCACCAAGGAGGAGAAGAGGCTGCAGCAGGTGGAGACATAGTGCCAATAATGATCGAACCTTCTGTATTCAAATGACCTTGTGTGTGTAGAAAAATGTGTTGTTGTGTTCTACATTCTCCCATTCTTAATCTTCCAAGAACACCTGAGAGAGCATACTGTCAAGAATGCATCAATGCAAAGCACTTAAAATCTGTCAAATTTGAAACTTACTTTGCATGTTTCCAGGGAGCAAGAGACCGAGCAGCTGACCCAACAGATTGACATAAGGAAATTAAATTCACTCAGCCTCACATGGCTCTTGTACTGACATGATGCCCGTTAACCCTATGTGCAAGATATGATGTTGGAGGCCCTGGGCAGGAAGGTGGTGGAGGTGTACAGGAGCTGTGCTGGGGACAGTGAGGCCAACCTGACCACGCTGCAGATGCCGACCAACATCGAGGGCCGCTGGAGAACGTGGAGCTGGTTCCCAGGGACCGCATGCTCATGGCCAAGAGGGTCAAGGAGAAGAAGAAGAAACTCAGGTGGGTCAACAGTACATTCAGTTAGTGGTCCTCTGTAGCTCAGATGATAGAGCATGGTGCTTGCAATGCCTAAACTGTAGGTTCGATTCCTGGGACCACCCATACGTAAACTGTATGCACGCATGACTGTAACTCACTTTGGATGAAAGTTTCTGCTAAATGGCATATATTATATTATTATTGTTTAGCTAAAATATCAGGGTACGTTTGCATGTATGTACTACAGTAACTGACCCACTATACCGTAACTGTATAATCGACATTGGTTGGCATACAGTACAATAGTTTTTCTATTTTAAGAATTAAGTCCTCAGAGTGGAGTTAGCTATAGGACTGTGGATCTTAGGGCTTTCCATATGTCTGTATTTGCAGGCTAAGGGAGGAGAAGGGCCGTGTGCAGAAGATGCAGCAAGAGGAACGCCTGCGTAAAGCCCTGGAGAGAGCTCAGGCTGACATCAAGAGACCTGTGAGTGGAACACACAGCAATACATACACAATACCAGGGGCGCATTTTTACACAATCCAATATGCCGTCTCCATTTAGAACAAAAAGTAAGACAAAATGCCCACAGTTATCAAGCTAGGTAAGAGACCATTATTAAATATGTTTCAGTGATTAATGAGACTGAACTAGATCAAAGGTAATTCAATAATAAATATTGTGTTGCACCTTTAACCAATAGCCTAACAAATTAAAAACTCTTGAAAAAATATGAAGACTTTTGATTGTCTTTATTAAAACATCCTCTATATCAGATTCCAGGCAGACAGACCAGACAGCCCAAGCCGCCTGCACGCCCAACCCCCACCAGTCTAGTCAATAACTCAACTCTCTCCCAACACAATTTCCTTCCCAGTTCACACCTTCAATTTTTTTTTATTCCCAAGGGAAAGGTTTGGAAACAAAATACAAAACAAAAACCCCCACATACACCTCAAATATACATGAACACACAGAAACAGCAAATTCTCCATACAATTACTCTCATAGTCTCATAGACTAATAGGACTGTAGAGCTCTTTTTACTTGCACACAATATACAGTTGAAGTCGGGAATTTACATACAGTGGGGAAAAAAAGTATTTAGTCAGCCACCAATTCTGCAAGTTCTCCCACTTAAAGAGATGAGAGAGGCCTGTAATTTAAATCATAGGTACACGTCAACTATGACAGACAAATTGAGAGAAAAAAATCCAGAAAATCACATTGTAGGATTTTTTAATGAATTTATTTGCAAATTACGGTGGAAAATAAGTATTTGGTCAATAACAAAAGTTTCTCAATACTTTGTTATATACCCTTTGTTGGCAATGACACAGGTCAAACGTTTTCTGTAAGTCTTCACAAGGTTTTCACACACTGTTGCTGGTATTTTGGCCCATTCCTCCATGCAGATCTCCTCTAGAGCAGTGATGTTTTGGGGCTGTCGCTGGGCAACACAGACTTTCAACTCCCTCCAAAGATGTTCTATGGGGTTGAGATCTAGAGACTGGCTAGGCCACTCCAGGACCTTGAAATGCTTCTTACGAAGCCACTCCTTCGTTGCCCGGGCGGTGTGTTTGGGATCATTGTCATGCTGAAAGACCCAGCCACGTTTCATCTTCAATGCCCTAGCTGATGGATGGAGGTTTTCACTCAAAATCTCACGATACATGGCCCCATTCATTCTTTCCTTTACACGGATCAGTCGTCCTGGTCCCTTTGCAGAAAAACAGCCCCAAAGCATGATGTTTCCACCCCCATGCTTCACAGTAGGTATGGTGTTCTTTGGATGCAACTCAGCATTCTTTGTCCTCCAAACACGACGTGTTGAGTTTTTACCAAAAAGTTCTATTTTGGTTTCATCTGACCATATGACATTCTCCCAATCCTCTTCTGGATCATCCAAATGCACTCTAGCAAACTTCAGACGGGCCTGGACATGTGCTGGCTTAAGCAGGGGGACACGTCTGGCACTGCAGGATTTGAGTCCCTGGCGGCGTAGTGTGTTACTGATGGTAGGCTTTGTTACTTTGGTCCCAGCTCTCTGCAGGTCATTCACTAGGTCCCCCCGTGTGGTTCTGGGATTTTTGCTCACCGTTCTTGTGATCATTTTGACCCCACGGGGTGAGATCTTGCGTGGAGCCCCAGATCGAGGGAGATTATCAGTGGTCTTGTATGTCTTCCATTTCCTAATAATTGCTCCCACAGTTGATTTCTTCAAACCAAGCTGCTTACCTATTGCAGATTCAGTCTTCCCAGCCTGGTGCAGGTCTACAATGTTGTTTCTGGTGTCCTTTGACAGCTCTTTGGTCTTGGCCATAGTGGAGTTTGGAGTGTGACTGTTTGAGGTTGTGGACAGGTGTCTTTTATACTGATAACAAGTTCAAACAGGTGCCATTAATACAGATAACGAGTGGAGGACAGAGGAGCCTCTTAAAGAAGAAGTTACAGGTCTGTGAGAGCCAGAAATCTTGCTTGTTTGTAGGTGACCAAATACTTATTTTCCACCATAATTTGCAAATAAATTCATAAAAAATCCTACAATGTGATTTTCTTGATTTTTTTTCTCAATTTGTCTGTCATAGTTGACGTGAACCTATGATGAAAATTACAGGCCTCTCTAATCTTTTTAAGTGGTAGAACTTGCACAATTGGTGGCTGACTAAATACTTTTTTCCCTCACTGTACACCTTAGCCAAATACATTTAAACTAAGTTTTAAACAATTACTGACATTTAATCCTAGTAAAAATTAGGATCACCACTTTATTTTAAGAATGTGAAATGTCAGAATAATAGTAGAGAGAATTATTTATTTAAGCTCTTATTTCTTTCATCACATTCCCAGTGGGTTAGAAGTTTACATACACTCAATTAGTATTTGGTAGCATTGCCTTTAAATTGTTTAACTTGGGTAAACGTTTCGGGTAGCCTTCCACAAGCTTCCCACAATAAATTGGGTGAATTTTGGCCCATTCCTCCTGACAGAGCTGGTGTAACTGAGTCAGGTTTGTAGGCCACCTTGCTCGCACACGCTTTTTCAGTTCTGCCCACAAATGTTCTATAGGATTGAGGTCAGGGCTTTGTGATGGCCACTCCAATACCTTGACTTTGTTGTCCTTAAGATATTTTGCCACAACTTTGGAAGTGTGCTTGGGGTCATTGTCCATTTGGAAGGCCCATTTGCGACCAAGCTTTAACCTCCTGACTGATGTCTTGAGATGTTGCTTCAATATATCCACATAATTTTCCTTCCTCATGATGCCATCTATTTTGTGAAGTGCACCAGTCCCTCCTGCAGAAAAGCACCCCCACAGCATGATGCTGCCACCCCCGTGCTTCACGGTTGGGATGGTGTTCTTCGGAAATTGCTCCCAAGGTCTTGGCTGACCCCTAGATTTATTCTAGGGGTCCACCACCCTGTAGCGCCCTAACCCAACACATCCCGCTCAGCTTTAGGATCTTAGTGAAACATTCATTATTGGTTTCGGGTGTTTTAGGCCAAGGTCAGAGTGACAACCCACAGGACGGCAGACCTCCAGGGCCAGGACTGAGCAGCCCAGCCACTAGGGATTTCCTAAATAGGTTTTCAATACAGACTCCTTTAATCGTACTGTATTCCATATAAGGCATCCAGACCTTATGAAAGTTACCCAGCATACCCTTAATCTTGTAATAAATCTAACCTAGTGATACATAACTTGACATTTTGGGAGGATAATCAACTTTCCAATTAATGGCAATGCTTTTTTTAGCTGCTATAAATGCTTGGGTACACAGTTTCTTCAGATAACAGTCTCCAGTATCAACATTTCCAAGCAAACAAAAACAGGGAGAAGGGAGAAACTGTAGACATGCTGTGATAAAAGAACATACTCTTTGCCAGAATTCAGCCAGCCTTCACAAGACCATAACATATGCAAATATGTCCCCTTTTGTGTTTTACACCTCCAGCAGAGGAATTACATTTATGAGTGCATGTAATTCAGTTTCACTGGCATATAGTATGTTCTATGGATGGCCTTAAACTGCAGTAATTTATGTCTGAGATGATATGAACATGACTGGGCATTCTAACATATCTGTATCCATTCATCATCATCAGTAGTGTCTACCAGGTGTTCCTCACATTTTTATTTTACATGTTTTGTGTCATCGGGAAAAGCCTCTATTAACCCTTGATACAGTTTGGAAATCAACTTTGGAGGTTTGTCAGACTGCCTTAAAATAGCATCTGGCTTGTCCAGTGTTTGTTGGACAGAGAGAATAAAGTGTTGTATCTGCAAAAATTCACCTCACCTCTGTCACAGACTGGTCTTCCCTGGCTGCCTGACTCTGCGGAGACCCCTGTCACCATCTGATCCTCCTAAATGAGGCATGACAAAGAATTATCTTGGTGTACATTTATACATTATATTATCCAAGAATAGAATCAATGATTCAATAATTGAAATGTCCGATATTCCCAGATCCCAGACTGTAGCGTTAAGCTTAAGCTGCTGTCCTGTAGCTACTGTAGGTCTACCCATCAATTCAAGATGGAACTTTGTATCATTCACTGAAATTGTTAATATAGGCCTACTGCAAAATTAACCTGAGCTCCATAGACTGGTCTTCCCTGGCTGTCTGACCCTGCTGGGACCCCTGTCACTATTTGATCCTGCTAAGACATGATGAGCATACTGTAATGTTGTGTACTGACTGCACTAGAGGACTGCATTCCTGCGGGATGCCTGCGGGACCTGCAGATTTTTCATGCTGCGGCCGGGAGTGGGTGGTCAGACAGACTTCATCTTTTTTTCATTATTCACACGCTCAGAATTCGCTGCTTCAACTTCAGTAGCCTACCTCTCCTAGTTGGGCATGAGAGTTCAAGTGCGCCTATTATGTGTGGTCTCATTGAAATAAAGTAGACTGCCTACATTGGTGGAGAAGCAAGTGGCAGCTAACTTGAATATGAAATTAACTTAAATATGATTCAACTGTAGTTTAATACAGTGTCTGTAAATAAATATTGATAATGAAAAGAAGTGGAGGGCGCTCAACCAACGTGAGTCGAAGTGCAATAATTTTTTTTTATTATGATTGAAAAGGAAAAGGCACAACGCGCACATAGGTTAGGCTGCTATGGTGAGCGAGCGTTGCGCCTTTTCATTTTCAATAAATATTGATTTCCCATTTATTTGTCTCTGCCTGCAAATCATCCTCCTAAAAGGTAGGCTATATCCTATAGGACTTTGCAAAACGTAGCAAGTGTCGCTGTCATCATTCTTGCTGCTTCCAGTTCAGTAGCCATACATGCGAGATCAGGTGCTCATGTGGTCTCAATTAAACACAGTAGGCTATAGCCTATGCATGGGTGGAGAAGCACGGGCAGATATTATTCCATGGACATGTTCTTCCTAAATAGGCCTATGATTAGGCTATAGTTTACTACATTGCCTAGAAATAGGACTAAATATTGATCACTCCATCTGAAAATCTTCCCACTCTTAAAAAGTAGGCTATAAAAATAGCTCAAGAGAAAATGCAAGTCTCTCCAACTCTGCTCTCTTCAAACTACCTATATAGCCCAGTAATACAATATAAGGGCCATGTGAGAATCTCTGGTAACTTAAGTTATTTTTGTGCATTTGATATTGACTATAGGGCGCAAAATTGCTGGGACCATGGCTGGCAAGTGAGCTGCGTCACATACGCATAAAATAACATTGCGGGACTGCGGTTGGGTTTGGGACCAGTTCTTGCGGTAGCGGGTGGGAGTTGGTAAGAAAGCCAGCAGGTGCAGGGCAGGAGCAGGATGAATCAGTCCCATGCAGACCTCTACTGTGCACCATGACAGTGAAGCCTGTAACGTTAGAGCTGTTTATTACAGTGTCAGTGTGAAAAGTAGAGAATTAGCTAGATCAATAACGTGACATTGCCAAAAAAAATCAGAATGTCAATCTTCAATTGTTTGGTCAATGGTTTCATAATTTGATTCAGGTCTAGTGTGATTGAGGCAAAAATAATAGCTAAGGTTAGCCAACTTTTGGGCAGCTCTCGCTCTAACGGTACATCAACTGGCAAAAGTTAATTTACTTCTGAAATGGGACAAAACAAAGGCTACAAAACATTTCCGTACAAAAAAAAGCTGTTAGATAGTAATTTTAGCCACCTCATATTGCTCTCTGACAGATAGCTAGAGACTGGAACTGACCTGGCTGTGGTAGCTGCTAGCTAGCATAGCTTATTCATTCACCTCAGTGATAGCTAACGTTACATGTAAATTACAATACTAGCTCAGCACTGCGAATAAACACTAGTTTATTTATTTTTTGTTAAGTTAAACAGCAGTTACCTTGCCAGATACATCAGTCAACTAAAGAGTAGCCAGTTTCTGCTCTGCTTGCTTTTACAACTCGGTGAAAGAGCGCAACATATACAAACTGAACTATGCTCAACTCTCCCGTGCTGTTCCAGCCAGCCTTCCAGAAGCTTTGCCTTCACACAGCCTGTCAGCCCACTCTGTGGTGACTGCGGTTCTAAATCCAGCTGGCTGAACACTCCAAACAGCCTGTCCGACCGCTCTGAGGTCCTAAAGCACACCGTTGCCGCTTTTTGTATCACATTGCAATGATAAAACTGGAGGGGACAAAAATGCAAATTCAGAATGTAGGGAGGACATGACCCCCGAAAGTCCCCAGTGAAAGTTGCACCCATGCACAGCACACTCACAGACAATACACAAAATGTTGGACACAGAGCTTACAAAGCGTCATACATGACAAGCCTTACCGGATATAGGTGTATAGCTATATCGACACAGACACTAATGTGAATTTTGTGATTTCAGACTAGGAAGAAGCTGATGCCTGGCTCACTACCTCCGGGGAAAGAGCAGCTGGTTAACGATGATGGAGACACTGACATGGAGATCGAGAAACAGCTCTACTTCTTCACCTAGACCCACTATCCCCTCCTTCTACACCATGGACCTTGATGGAGCTTCGGGACTTGATGTACAGACATTTTCTAAACGTGTTCTGTATGTTAAAACAACATTTTCTTGTAGGTATGTGCATATTCTACTTTATTGTGGAGAGTTTATATTTTGCCAGTACATTTTCACTACCACAAGATGGCACCAACATCCCTAGATCAAGAGTATGTAGAGGCTAAGGAAGACACCATGAATGGTCCTGTAAACTGAAAGTACAGGTCTTTAGAAATACTGAACACAAATACACCCACACACTCTGGGACTTTGTTTGAAGTGTTTTAATGTAACTTGATGCGTTCACATAAAGCTGAGTTCGGCTGGGATTCAAGCCAATCGAGGGTGATAGGTATCGCACATTTTAAAGGTAATTCTCCATTGAGCCGAAATATGCAGTGTTTACTGTGAATGGGATCTCTATGAAAGCAGGAACATTGCCTTTTAAAACCGCAAGCTTATAACCCGCAATCGTATTGAATCACGGCTTTATGGTATCTGAAGCCAAAAACCACAGGAATGGGTTTCAAGACATTGGCCTACTGTGTGAATCTCAACATCAGAACCAAACTGGCAACTCACAGACATAATAGGTGAAAAAAAAGCATTAATTTTGCATTTTGCATTAATAAGGGCTCTCTCCTCATTTAAATCACCCGATAGTTAACACTCACTGCACAATCTATACAAATACGTTTGGATTGGGAGTTCCCTTCCACCTTCTGTAGCCTATAAACGTGTAATAACCGCTAAAATACAATCAAAATGATGAATATCCAATATGGCAAACTAAACGTATTCAGATTAGTTGGCTGTCCTTGGTTGAAATACTGTACATTGGATAATAACAGAATCGGACATTGACAAACACATGATCTATTTGACAGGAACAATAACTGATTACTATATGTATTGTTTACATTCATGACACATCAAAATAAGAGGACACCCTCATATAAAAAGTAAACCTCTAATTCTAGCATATTACGGTAACAAACTCTTCAGTTGATGTTCATTTTTACAATGGATGGACATTCAAATCATATCGGTTGCATTATACATCTTCATTGAGATAACATTTACATTCATTTATCTATTCACATGTGTTGTTCTAAACACTAACTAAATCCCATAGTACAAAACATTTAGCATTCTCGGTTTCAAGTGAAATATGTTGATCAAAAGGAAAATGTTAAGAAACACAGGTTAAATGCATATTATTCTGATGGAGATATATATTAGTGGACAGCGACGAATCATCATCAACGAAACATTATCATCAAACACCAAAAAAACAAGGATTATATAATATAAGTCTCAGCATGCTAATTCTTGTCATTGTACAAGACAAGGTCTAACCTACAGAGATGCACAACTAACTGTGGCACACAAATCCCTAGCCACACTAACAGACATGACTTTGCAAAGTGAGGGATTGTATGGTCACACACCAGTCCACATCAACTGAACACATATCTACCACGGATTCATGTTGGTCTGTAATATCCTTATACTGTGACCGCACTCTCTGCGGATGTCTCAGGGGGAGTTGGAATATGCAAAAAAACACCTTTCCTGTTCATGAGTACACAATAGGACAAATATAAGCACCTACCAAATGATTATTATTACACTATCAGTGACCACTAGGTGGTAGCTCTGAGCCACTCTACAAAGCAGTCAGTTGAATGAATTATTGAATTATTGCTGCATCTTAGTGATTCATTCGGTTTCCATTCCATCTGATACTGTGCAAATACAATTAATAGTAGGGTCTACAGTGTTAACTCAACATTGGCAATGTCAGGTGCTGTGGTCAACACATACTGGTGTAAAAAGTGCTGTATTCATTTTAATGAACATTTTGAACATTTATCAAGCTTTTTAATGATGTCACAACCAGGGGATGTATTGACATTGTAATGCTGTGATGTCAGCTCTGATAGAACATGAGTCAGAATCAAAACCATAGAAATAGAATCAGAACCATAGGAACAGAATAGGATTCTATTTCTATGATCAGAACTATGCCTGGATCTTCAGGTGGCAACAGGGTTCTAATTCCTAGTTATATGGTTGCTAGTTCTCCACTGAATTATGACAACACAATTAGCAACAAATCCAATAAATCTCACCTCCCTCTCTTTCTTTCTCCTTTCTTTTCTGACAACCACAAAAAAAAAAAACACTGGAACCCTACTGTCACACTCCTCAACCTCCCTCCCCTCCATCCTCTGTCTCCCTCTCCCTCTATCTCTGCAGGGGGGCACTGAGACTGCCATTTGTGTTCCAGCAGGGAGTAATCTGGGCCAAGCCTCAGCCCATGCTGGGCAGGATGGGTATGATAGAGAGGGGGGTGAGAGTGACTGGCACTAATGAACATGTGACCTGGGCCCCATGCCTGCCCTGTCGACACTCTCCTGTTTCATGACACAGGACCTGCTTCCTGCATCAGATCAATCAACAACAAAACAAACAACAAAACACTGAATGTTAAGTTTGTCAAGGATAACCTCTTCATTCACCTCCCCACTAACAGTCAACTGTCTGAGCTCGTGTTTTTGTGCTTGGTTTGTATAATATGACTCTTTTAGTTTCAACAAAGCAAATGAAAGTCAAAGCATACAGATGTCTGATCTTAATTTGACCCGTTTCGTCGCAAGGGGGAATAATCCTGCAGCATGATGATTTTAATATCTGAAGAAATATTTAGAATTGCCACCAGGGGGCAGCTGGAAGCGATGTTTGTATACAATGCAGTACCGTACCTACATTGTACACTATACATACAAAAGTAGTGGATTCGGTTGCTGACAGGTGTATAAAATTGAGCACACAGCCATGCAATCGCCATGGACAAACACAGTCAGTAGAATGGCCTTACAGAAGAGCTCAGTGACTTTCAACATGGCACCGTCATAGGATGTTGCCTTTCCAAGTCAATTTGTCAAATGTCTGCCCTGCTAGAGCTGCCCTGGTCAACTGTAAGTGCTGTTATTGTGAAGTGGAAACATCTAGGAGCAACAACGGCTCAGCCACAAAGTGGTAGGCCACACAAGCTCACAGAATGGGACCGCTGAGTGCTGAAGCGCATAGCTCGTAAAAAATAGCACTTCTGTCCTCGGTTGCTACACTCACTACCGAGTTCCAAACTGCCTCTGGAAGCAACGTTAGCACAATAACTGTTCATAGGTAGCTTCATGAAATGGGTTTTCATGGCCGAGCAGTCGCACACAAGCCTAAGATCACCATACGCAATGCCAAGCTTCGGCTGGAGTGATGTAAAGCTCGCCGCTATTTGACTCAGGAGCAGTGGAAATGCGTTCTCTGGAGTGATGAATCATGCTTCACCATTTGGCAGTCCGACGGACTAATCTGGGTTTGGCAGATGCCAGGAGAAAGCTACCTGCCCGAATGTATAGTGCCACCTGTAAAGTTTGGTGGAGGAGGAATAATGGTCTGGGGCTGTTTTTCATGGTTCGGGCTAGGCCCCTTAGTTCCATGAAGGGAAATCTTAACGCTACAGCATACAATGACATTCTAGACAATTCTGTGCTTCCAACTTTGTGGCAACAGTTTGGGGAAGGCCCTTTCCTGTTTCAGCATGACAATGCCCCCGGGCACAAAGCCAGGTCCATACAGAAATGGTTTGTTGAGATCGGTGTGGAAGAACTTGACTGGCCTGCACAGAGCCCTGACCTCAACCCCATCGAACACCTTTGGGATGAATTTGAACGCCGATTGTGAGCCAGGCCTAATCGCCCAACATCAGTTACAAACCTCACTAATGCTCTTGTGGCTGAATGGAAGCAAGTCCCCACAGCAATGTTCCAATATCGAGTGGAAAGCCTTCCCAGAAGAGTGGAGGCTGTTATAGCAGCAAAGGGGGGACCGATTCCATATTAATGCCCATGATTTTGGAATAAGATGTTTGACGAGCAGGTGTAGTGTACCTTCGACTGCCGTTCCACTGGGCTCTGGTTCAAATAGCCTATTTAGGCTACGTGCAGGCAACAGTGCATCTGGTGTGAATTCTTATGTGAATTACAATAAATTACAAAAAGAAGTGGGACTGCCCCACTCCTTAAAAAATACCTTTAAGAAATAATAAATCATTGGAAAATAACAATTAGATTGTGAGCGTACATCCAACATAAAACAGGATTATAAATAGTACAAAGTAGGCTAAATGAATTCATAGAACATACACAGACTTAGCAAGCAACAATTAATGCTATGCTGACTGATTCCACCTGTGCTGAGATTCAGGTCGGAGATTTTGAGGTGGAAATTAAAAACTTCAGAGGACTTTTAAACCTCAAATACATTGCAAGTTTGTCCCTGGAGTTCCACCATCGGATCGTAAATTTGTCAATTAATTTAGATATTCTATAGCCTACATTAGGCCCACAAGTTAATTGCATTTATTTCAATGTTTTTAAGAAGTAAAACGAATAGTCTGTAATTTACACATCAAAGAAAAGTGTCTCAGCTCAACGAAACCAAAGTCTTTCAAGATATGTTTCCCCTCTGGTTGGTATTGTCATCGGAACAACGTAGTCCTTTTTGAACAGACTAAGGGCGATTTATCTATTTGACAAGCATTCAGTACAATATAAATAAAGTATTTCCTTGTTTACCACAGCAAATCTACTGTGGCAATTTACCAGACACTTTGTATGAATAGAAACTAATGTTGGTGTAGCCAGTTATTATTTTATTTGTTTCCTATTTATGTTATCCATTAAGGCGTCACTACAGACCCCCTGGTTCGATTCCAGGCTGTATCACAACCGGCCGTGATTGGGAATCCCATAGGGCGGCGCACAATTGGCCCAGCGTCGTCCGGGTTTGGCCGGTGTAGGCCGTCATTGTAAATAAGAATTTGTTCTTAACTGACTTGCCTAGTTAAATAAAGGTAAAATAAATAATAAATAAAACAATTTGTGTCTGGTATGGTCATTTCTTATCAAGATTGACCCAGCTAACAACAAACATTCCCACAACTTTAGAGAACGTTCCCTTAAGTGTCTCTTTAGGTCAACCAAAGTTTTCATATGAATGTTCCCGTGATGTGCAAGGAATGTTTCCAAGAGACCATTCCCTTAATGTCAAATAGAGCTTGGAACGTGGTTAACATGTTCTCAGAACTTAGGATATGAATGTTCTAGACATGTTTCATGGGAACATTGTGAGACCATTCATGTGTCCAGTTTTTTGTGGGTTAGGAGAATATTCCATCAACGTCCCACAAAACATACACAGAACATGGTTGCCATGTTCTCAGAATATAAGATATTAATGTTCTCGACACGTTTCATGGGAACGTTGCAAGAACATTTCTGTGTATCAGTTGTCAGGACGTCGCCTGATGGTCCCAAAGAAACGTTCTCCAAATTTTGTTGCATTACAGAACACGTCTTGTTACTATTGCGAAGCCCTGATTGCTGAACCACTGATCTACTCACAGCTCTTTTTGTCTGTTGGCAACATTAGGGATACTCACACACAGAGTACTTTTATCTTGCGTACAGTGCCTTCAGAAAGTATTGAAGTACACATCTACATTTTAGTCACTTAGCAGACGCTGTTATCCAGAGCGACTTAAGCAAGGTTAAGTGCCTTGCTTAAGGGCACATCAACAGATTTTTCACCTTGTTGGCTCAGGGATTAGAACCAGCGACCTTTCGGTTACTGACACAACGCTCTTACCCACTAAGCTACAACACCCTTGACTTTTCCACATCTTGTTGTGTTACAGCCTGAATTTAAAATGTATTATATTGAGATGTTTTGTCACTGGACTACACACAAAAACCCATAATGTTAAAGTGGAATTATGTTTTTTTTCGAAATTAATAAAAAATTTAAAGCTGAAATGTCTTGAATCAATAAGTATTCAACCCCTTTGTTATGGGAAGCCTAAATAAGTTCAGGAGTAAAAATATAGGATGTTGCATGGACACACTCAGTGTTTAACAGGATTCTTTAATGACTACCTCATCTCTGTACCCCACACATACAATAATCTGTAAGGTCCCTCAGATTCAACCACAAAGGAGGTTTTATTGGCAAAGGGCACTTATTAGTAGATTTAAAAAAAGAAGCAGATGTTGAATATCCCTTTGAGCATGGGGAAGTTATTAATTAAACTTTGGATGTTGTCACTACAAAGATACAGGCGTCCTTCCTAATGCAGTTGCCGTAGAGGAAGGAAACCACTCAGGGATTTCAGCATGAGGCCAATGGTGACTTTAAAACAGTTACAGAGTTTAATGGCTGTGATAGGAGAAAACTGAGGATGGATCAACAACATTGTAGTTACTCCACAATACTAACCTAATTGACAGAGGGAAAAGAAGGTAGCCTGTATAGAATACAAATATTCCAAAACATGTATCCTGTTTGCAACAAGGCACTAAAGTAATACTTCAAAAAGTATGGCAAAGCAATTTGGGCCAAATCCAATACAACACATTACTGAGTACCGCTCTCCATATTTTCAAGCATAGTGGTGGCTGCATCATGTTATGGGTATGATTTTAATCGTTAATGACTGGGGAGTCATTCAGGATAAAAACGGAATGGAGCTAAGCACAGGCAAAAACCTGGTTCAGTCTGCTTTCCACCAGACACTGGGAGATGAATTTACCTTTCAGCAGGACAATAACCTAAAACTCCAGCAGTACAATAACCTAAAACTCAAGGCCAAATCTACACTGGAATTGCTTACCAAAAACAGTGAATGTTCCTGAGTGGCCGAGTTACAGTTTTTACTTAAATCTGCTTGAAAATGTATGGCAAGACCTGAAAATGGTTGTCTAGCAATGATCAACAACCAACTTGACAGAGCTTGAAGAATTTTGAAAAGAATAATGGGCAAATGTTGCACAATCCAGGTGTGCAAAGCTCTTAGAGTTACCCAGAAAGACTCACAGCTGTAATCACTGCCAAAGGTGAATCTAACATGTATTAAATGAAGATATAGTGTTATAGTTTTCATGAATTTTTTACAAAAGCCAAATGGGTGTGAATACTTTCTGAAGGCACTGTATTGGACATACGTGATTATATTGTGCATGTTCATTTATACAGTAATAATTATTAAACATGTCCACACCTGGGATTTGAACTCACAACCTCTTGGTTCATGGCATTCAGATCTTCCTGCTACACCACCATGTCTCTTATCAGTTAATTTGACTATTCTCTCATCATTTATTTGATTTACTTATTTCAACACTTTAAGGGCTTTCTGTATAGTTGTCTAATGTTGGTGGGGCATGTTAACCTGTTTTAAAGTTTGTTATTTGCCAAAAGGGAGTGGGCCAGAATCGAACCCACAGCGACATGTTAGGCCTTTATCTGCACGTTGAAGGCAGCGGCCATAACCGCTAGACCACCTCAGGCCACAATTGAACTACATTTTGACAGTTGATTCGTAACCCTCTTTTTCAACAATATATACTAAATTGTCTTTTTGGTTTTAAAATCAGTCGCTCACTTTCAAGCGCCATTACGCTCCGTTCCGTAGGCTACCTCACTATTCTCAATTTTGTGTTGTCTTTACATCTGATATTATAGGCCTGTGTGTGATTAGTTTTGATAGGCTACAGTAAGCTATAGTTTAGTTCTACTGTACGGCCGCATTTCGGATACACTTGTGTCATAGTGGAGACTAATATCTATGTTGTGTTATTAAGCAATATAAAATGATGGTTGTTGATGTGTATGGATACATTTCAGATACATTTTTGTACATTTGAATGTTGTGGTAATAGGACCTATAGGCCTACAGTAGCAGTAGGACATTTATTCATATTCTGTCGGGTGCTTTTAGCGTTTGAGAGTGAGGAAGGATGATTTTGATAGCTGGCACTGGTCCGAATGACTCGACTGCCCCCACATGGAGAATAAGAAAAACTGTGGGTTTTCAGTGAACATATCTAAATCGCAAGACTCATTTGAATGTCCTGATATTCAGGATCATTTTCTGCGACAAAAGAGGGATCAAATTAAGATCCAACATCTGCATGAAGTAGAAAGTCAACATAAATAAAACATATTGTTTGTTGCATGAGAGCATTTATTCCTGTAATTCCAGTGGATAGGATACAGTAATTCAAGCAGATTTTATGTGTATAAAAAGAGTAACCTCATGTATGAGGGTGTGGGTTTGGAGGTGTGGGCTGAAAGCAATATGTCAAGTTGTTTACGTGTTTTCTCTTCAGTTGATGGCTAAGCTGCTTTGTATATACTGTATATATACACACACTCCAGAAGCTGAGGATTGGATTTTTAGATTAAAAGTGAAAATCTAATTGTCTTTTTGTGTCTGAGTTTCTTAGATATGTATATTCTACATCAGTAACTTTCACAGTCTGTAACTCCCCCCTCTGCATATGCGTGTGAACTTGTGTCACATCATGGCATAGTAAGTTATATTTCTTCCTTCTCTTCAGAAGTCACTGTGCTTGTGGGTATTGCATTGGGTGCTATATCTACTCACCCCTATGTGTTCAAATGCACAATGTATACATAGACTCATTCTTTGTGTGTATGTACTGTACTGTGTTTAGCTACAGTATGTGCACTGTAGTGTTAGGGAGAGGGGCCATCGACTTGCAATGAGATGGCATAGGTTTTGGAGAGATGAGAGAGATGTCAAGTGTGTGTGTATGTGCACATCAAATGTGTGTAGACCCAGTTAGGGTGTTGAGAGGTACTGTCCCACTACAGTAAAGGGTGTCAGATGTGCCTGTGGAGCTCGGGCAGGTCTGAGGAGGAGAAAGCGGGCCGGGGCTCGATGCCTCTGGTCTTCATGAAGCCCAGAAGCTGCTCAGGGATCTCAGCCAGTACGTCTTTGGCCAGCCGGGCCATGCTCAGGACCTGGTTCCCTGACTGGTCCACGTAGTCCCGGAAAGGAACAAACTGTATGGGGGTTGGGGGATGGATGACAACAGGGACAGGACACACAACTGTCGTAGGGTACTGAAAGTATTGAATGTCTGGGAGAAAAAACGTATTGGTCCTACTACTGATCATGAGCATCAAATACTAAAGACTAAAGCAACAAATTCAAGTTTCTTTTGGAGAATCTCAGTTGCATTTCCTTGATTCCTCTGCTGCTTCTCAAACCCCATTGGATGAGAAGGTCAGAGGGGAGGGACCACTGACCTTCTCATCCAATAGCTTTTGAGAAGGAGGCGAGGAGAGAGGATGTGAGGAATCAATGATATGCAATTGAGATACTCAGTTGTTGTCTGGCCATAACCTACCTGCACAATGTCTCTTTCAGCAAAGCGCCCTCTGGAGGACACTCTGACTTCGTCTCCATCCAGCTCCTCCATGGCTAGACAGAGACACAATACATGAGAAGCTTTTCAGACTAGCACTCTGGGGAACAGTTGAAGTCAAAACATCTACAGATACTAGAAGGAAAATGTTATGTGCTACTAGCAGTTATTTAAAATCGGACTAATCACTGCTAAGCACTGTGGACCCATTTATGCTGTAAGTGCTTTTGAATAGAAAGGTCATTCTAAAAGGCTTGCAGAATTCAGCTGGCTTATAGAACATCTCATTGAGTCTGATACTCAGACAACTCAACCCAGACATAAACAAGTATTCATAACTGCACACAATCCTGCCACACTACAGTGCACAAACTCTTAGATAGACACATCCAAACGAATGCACAGACACACACAGGAGTGCAGCAAAAGGAAAAGAAACCAGACAACAAGGCTTGAAGCACACATATCAACACACATTTTCAGACACAGCTTCTGCTGAAGAGTAACTCCTCTGAACTGCCATCAAGTGGTCTGAACTCATGACCTCTGCAATGCCTGACTGACTTCACAGCGTTCGATTGCCTAACCAAGTGAAAAATTCAGCCGAATCGAGCGCAGATGATGCCCAGAGTTACGCCTCACTGGGCTGAAACAGAGACTACCCTCCTTCTGTCTTTCTGTCTGTCTGTCCCTCCCTCCCTCCCTCCCACCCCCTTAAGGAGTCATTGATCTAAAGAGGGCCTGGATACTTGACACTGCAACACTGACTTTCTAAAGCAACCCTCAAAGGAGAAATGCACCGTAAAAATACAAAAGCAGCTGAGCAGGACTGTGCTTCTCTGTTCTACCTTTATGGGCGCCACACTCACCGTCAAACTTTGCAGGTCCAACCCCTACGATGATGATAGACATGGGGAGAGCAGCTGCCTGTAGGGAGAGAAAGAAAGAGGAGTTACAGACAAACAGTAGTAGCCTCGATAGTTCGATAGTTCACTGTCTACATATAAGCTGGCCCTGCTGAAGGAGGAACTGTACTGTGTACTCCACTCACGTTGACCACAGCCTCCTTGGTCTGCACCATGTCAGAGATAACTCCGTCTGTGATCATCAACAACACAAAGTACTGGGAGCCATCTGTCACATCCTGCGCAGACCTGAGGGAGCACATGCACGCACGCGCACACGCGCACACACACACACACACACACACACACACACACACACACACACACACACACACATGCACACACACACATGCACACACACACACACACACACACACACACACACACACACACACACACACACACACACACACACACACACACACACACACACACACAAGAGAGTTAACAAGCAGTGTTAGGAGTGTGTGCCTGAGCGAGATTGAGAGTGAGTGAGTTTATATGTGATGGCAAATGTTTACAGCCTCTCACTAGAGAGATACAGTAATTAAGGACCGTTGTCCAGTGAGACTTGACACTTTGACCTCTGGCATTACCCAGTCGTTTCCTCTCATCTCAGAACAAGAGGAGCGAACAAAAACAAGAGAGAAAAATTACATTTTTTCCAAATCCCCTTCATTCCAATTTCAGCAAGGGAGCCACAGGCACTGTGAGAAATAAAATGAACAACAGAGACACTCATTTCAGGCCCCAGGTGTTATTATGTTAGACAAGCTCCAAGACGCGTCTCACAGTTGTTTGTCTGAGTCGGAAATGTTCTCCCTGGAGTGTCCTTCACCTGGTTTAGGCTCCGAGAACACATTCCTAATAAAGGTAAATAAGATGTTCCACCTGGCTGAGTGTAGCATCGATCCCTGTCTGAGACCAGAGCTGTGGGGGAGTAATGACCACTATCCCCCCCGGACCGAGGGATATACTGCACTCTGATATATCCAAGAGCCAGGGGTGTCAGCGACATACAAAGACCAATGGGATGTTAGACAGGTAACAGTGAGCTGTAAGGGTAGGGGATGGCACAGAGGCTAGTGCACATCTCAATGAGCAAAATTGGTTGAAATATGTATTTCCAACATTTTTTCAATGTTTTTTCAACATCTTTTCAATGTATTTTCAACCAAAAACATGTATTTTCAACTTCTTGTGCTTATAGGGGTGACTGGTTGTTATTCTAGTCACTTTACACAGCTGCTATTGCAATGCCCTGTTGCCCTGTCCTCTTCCCTTCACCATCATGGTGGAATGGGATGCTAAAACCGTTTGTAGTTTTTTAATTCTTAGCCAGAGCTCTCCTGAAATGACAGCCTCTATGATTTGAGAAGAACCAAAAACTTTTAAATGACACTCTGGAGGAGACAAATTCTCTCAGCACGTGTAGAAACATGCATATTACTCAGAGCAGAAGCTACAGAACAACATCAGTTGTCTGAAAGACACATCCTCCACATTGTGCTGTTGGTGCTCCTACAATTAGACCTAATAGACTCATACTGTATAAACCATGGAATGAATTATACGTGCGCCAGCCATCTGCTCGTCGGAGAGGGAGAGCATCGCTGCCTAGGGGAGAAAGAGCCTGGCAGAGATAACAGCTTCAAGTACATAGTATAGCCTTGCATCTCAAGGGGCTGTGTATATGTGTATGTTCTAATCTAGTACAGGGGTTCCCAAACTTTTTCACTCGGGGCCCCTCCTCCAGCATTGGGGAACATCCCGTGCCCCCCCGCACACACGCCACTGTTCATGACACAAACTGTTCACACCCCTCTTGTTAGTGTAGAGAATTTTGCAGGTTTAAAGACAATTTACTGCAATTCTACATATGTTGTCATGGGGTGCAAAGAAAATGGTGCAGTTTGCTATGTCTAATGTGTATTCATGTGATATTTGAGAGACAAAAAAATTACAACAATATCTATGGGCTAAAAAACCTAAATAAAAAAACGTTAGCTGACATGGGCTAGTTGATATGGACATTTCTGACAAGTTATAAATAGATCTCTAAGGTATGGAATGACTGACATGACAAAAGGAACTGATGATGCACTGCCCAATTTCGAAATTGCACCTTGTGCAATCTACTACTACAACTTTCAAGAGTAAGTTTAAAACCGGCTAGGCTACCTTCCGTAGCATTCATATCAATTCCATTCCTATATTATCAGTATATAGTGTGTCAGAGGTTTCCAGAGGTCTAGTCCATTGTGATCTCTTTACCGTGCCACCTGGTTGATGACTGGAGAGAAGTTGGTGGGTCCGTAGAGTTGGACCGTCCTGAGGCTCTGGAAGTATGCCTCCAACACTCCCTCTATCCCCACACAGTTAGGGTTTTCATTGTCACCACTCTGCAAGGGACAGGAGGAGATGCATGTCACCATGAAACAGTTGTCAGACTTAATCTACTTAAAGACATTCAGTTATCAATAACTTTATGGTAAATTGTGTCACTGGTGATCAAAACCTCAACAATCAACCCACCTTTACACATCCACTCCTTAATACAATAAGGCCCAGGAAAAGTAAGAGCTAAATGTGCAGTGTAATAACAATAAAACGACAAACACCTGCCAAGAAAAATGTGTAAATAATAAATAACGTTCTGTTCATAATTAATATGGGTCTTCAATATTCAATAGCCACTGGAGAACCAACCAGCCCAGTGTTCACAATGCTCAAGCCTTTGTTGTTGTTGTTGTTGTACAGGTCAGAGAGACGGAGAGCTCTTTTGGCTTGACAACAGCAGCCAGTGGAGCAGAGCCTGTGATTGGAGGAAGCTCCTTAGAAGGATGTGAGTGAGGATGCTGGGAGTCCCCTGCAGGGCTGGGAGATGAGCCGGCTTCTGAGTGCGTGCGGCCAGCTGTCACCGCGGCGATGAGGCTTGGCCCCTGTCCTCAATCAGGTCCTCACTCAGCGGGCAGAACGCTGTCACAGCTGCACTGAGACAGTGACAGAGCACGTTTACTGCTGGTGTTGGAAATGTGATGGAGTGATGAGAGGACACTCTGCCATCATACAGACAGACAGCAGACACCCTCAGGGGTGACCTTGAGACGTTAACTTTTGGAAAATGTGTCAGGAAGCTAATCAGCTTTTTGGTTTGATGAACAACAACTTTAAAGCAAGGCATACTTTCTCTGATGGATTATTTATGGTCACAGTGTCCTTTTCTTCTGAATCTGAATGATCTGAGAGAAATTATTTATTTTAGGCAAACATTTAAGTGAAGGGAAAGTACATGAAGCCAAACAACGGAAAATTACTTTTATGTGTCTGCCAGTTGATTTGCTTGTTTACTTTTCTCATCATCAGCACATCTCCTCCTCATGGGGGAGAGATTCCCAGAAGCAGCGCTCCACATCCTCAAGCAGATGATCCCCTTCTCTCTCCCCTTCCCTTCCTGATGGAGGGTTGGCTTCAAAAGTCTCAAATCAAACAGGCTGCATCATCACTGTGATAACTACAGAAACACAGCAGGGCGGAGGGACAGGTGTTCTCTCTCTCTATCTCTATCTCTCTCTCTCTCTCTCACTCTCTCTTCGTCTCTCTCTCTCTCCCTCAATCTCTGAGTCTTGCTGATTGGGAGAGCTTATCACTAAGCAGGATAAGACACACATTCTTACTCCAGAAACTCATCTTTTGATGAATAACAAATAAACAAAAAGAAAGAAGAATGCCTTCATTCTGAGGAGTCAATAGCTTGGTTATTGAAGGTACACACTTGCTTTTTTCTTGCACAGGTGTGTTTTTGATATGCAGGTGCTGGGTGAGTCACAGGCTTCTCTAGCTCTCAGAAGGTTAAACGAAGCAAGGTTAACCATGAATAACCGATAACAAGCCTCTCTGCCGACTGGCCTTGTCCACACCAACCCGTAATGTGCAGCATTACACAATATCCTGCTCTAATACAGTACATTCGGAGTATAAAGTATTCAGACCCCTTGACCATTTCCACATTTTGTCACATGCCTTACTCTAAAATTGCTAACATTATTTTTCCCCCTCATCAATCTACACACAATACCCCATAATGACAAAGCGAAAACAGGTTTTTAGAATTTTTTGCAAATTTATACAAAATTGAAATACCTTATTTACAGAAGTATTCAGACACTTTGCTATGAGACTCTAAATTGAGCTCAGCTGCATCCTGTTTCCAATGATCATCCTTGAGATGTTTGTACAACTTGATTGGAGTCCACCTGTGGTAAATTCAATTGATTGGACATGATTTGGAAAGGCACGGACCTGTCTATATAAGGTCCCACAGTTGACAGTGCATGTCAGAGCAAAAACCAAGCCATGAGGTGGAAGGAATTGTCGAGGCACAGATCTGGGGAAGGGTACCAAAACATTTCTGCAGCATTGAAGGTCCGCAAGAACACAGTGGCCTCCATCATTCTTAAATGGAAGAAGTTTGGAACCACCAAGACTCTTCCTAGAGCTGGCCACCCGGACAAACTGAGCAATTGGGGGAGAAGGGCCTTGGCCAGGGAGGTGACCAAGAACCTGATGGTCACTCTGACAGAGCTCCAGAGTTCCTCTGTGGAGATGGGAGAACCTTCCAGAAGGACAACCATCTCTGCAGCACTCCACCAATCAGGCCTTTATGGTAGATTGGCCAGACGGAAGCCATTTCTCAGTAAAAGGCACAAAAGGCACAAAAGTGGTCCTCTGTAGCTCAATTGGTAGAGCATGGCGCTTGTAACGCCAGGGTAGTGGGTTCGATCCCCGGGACCACCCATACGTAAAAATGTATGCACACATGACTGTAAGTCGCTTTGGATAAAAGCGTCTGCTAAATGCCATATTATTATTATTATACAGCCCACTTGGAGTTTGCCAAAAGGCACCTAAAGGACTCTCAGACCATGAGAAACAAGATTCTTTGTTCTGATGAAACGAAGATTGAACTCTTTGGCCTGAATGCCAAGTGTCACGTCTGGAGGAAACCTGGCACCATCCCTACAGTGAAGCATGGTGGTGGCAGGATCATGCTGTGGGGATGTTTATCAGCGGCAGGGACTGGGAGACTAGTCAGGATCGAGGGAAAGATGAACGGAGCACAGAGAGATCCTTGATGAAAACCTGCTCCAGAGCGCTCAGGACCTCAGACTGGGGCGAAGGTTCATCTTCCAACAGGACAATGACCCTAAGCACACAGCCAAGTCAACGCAGGAGTGGCTTAAGGACAAGTCTCTGAATGTCCTTGAGTGGCCCAGCCAGAGACCGGACTTGAACCCAATCGAACAATCTTTAAAAAAAATGTTTTATGTATTTGCAAACATTTCTAAAAACCTGTTTTTGCTTTGTCATTATGGGGTATTGTGTGTAGATTGATGAAAAAAAGAATTTAATCAATTTTAAAATAAGGCTGTAAAGTAACAGAATGTGGAAAAAGTCAAGGGGTTTGAATACGTTCCGAATACATTGTTTATCTGTATGCCTACTACACAAGCATTGAAGCTGAAGGCCCTATTCAAAACTGCTCACCAAGTTATAGCGTTACGTTTTTTTTCCAAAGTTTGCACATTAAGTGAACGTTTAAGTGATAATGCCAGGGAAGCCGTGATTTGGAGGAAATTGGCACGGGTGTTGTTAGGCCCGAGATGAAGTTGAGGTTGTTAGTTCGATTGGCAGGTTGCTATGGCAAACAAAAATGGTTGCTATGGAGGCTCTCTCCCAAGGAGTAGGGTTAATCCAAGCGTTCTGACCTCATAATGGCAGTCAAGCAGCCAAGATGACTGGCTAAAGTTGGCTAGCTTGCTAGCTACTTCCAGACACAAATGAGAAGACACCCCACTCTGAGCGATGTACTAGCCTAGCTGGCTAGTGTTTTCATGTTATCAAGAGGGTTAGTGACTGTAACTGTGTTACTGGCAACAATTGAATTATGTTTTTTTAGCCGATGTTTACTTACACCTGTCATAACAAATCGAGTTTGGGCGTTCGTAAATTCCTCAATTATTCAGCGCTCAGGCACTCTCAAACCAGAGTGCTCTGAAATCGGAGTGCCAGGGTGAATTTACGAACACACCCATAATGTTTTATGAACATAATCAGATCACATTTACACTTCTCCAGAAGTTGTATTGCATGTGCCCCATGGACATTCTCACCATAAAACTAGGACGGGGAATAATTCTAGTAAGTTTGGTTTTAATAAAATTAAATGAAAAACAAGCAATCAGATTTTTTTTTTCAACAACAACAACAATAAATACATGTAAAATGTAATGATATCATACAATTGCCAGGATAGAAAAATGACAATGACGCATTGCTGTTGAACCAGCCTTCATTATAGTAGGCCTAGGGCTTGAACATAAGAAATGGAAAACAAGCAATTGTTACAGGAAAATAACTTATAAATACGAGGTTTAAAAAGGAATTGTCAGCTCACTGTTTTGCTCCTCTCAAACTTGATCTTTTAATAAAGCTTTGATGATTAAGATGTATTTCTAAGTGGTCTCACGAGCCAAACCCTATATTGCATTGGGCAGGACAAAAAACAAAAAAAGGCTTAATTGGAGAGTAGGGGAGGCTATGTTTTTTTTTTTTACTCAAATAAAACAAAATGGAAATACAAAGTATACAGGCACCAAAAGCTCATTAGTTGTTCCATGTGCATATGGGCAGTGTCCGTCACGACTGGGTAGGCTGCGTTTCCGCTGTCAAAATTCATGCCATAATCAACCGCGTTACCGCTAAAATCAGCTTTTGGTTGGTCTTAAAGGTGCAATATGCAGAAATCGCTCTGCCATTCCCTGGTTGCAAAAATTCTAATAGTTCACCTAATTTCAGTTTATGTGAAAAAACAAGCATGTAGAGCACACATGTCAAACTCATTGCACTGAGGGCCGAGTGTCTGTGGGTTTTCGTTCCACCCTTGTACTTGATGAATTAAGGTCACTAATTAGTAAGGAACTCCCCTTATCTGGTTGTTTAGGTCTTGAAAGGAAAAAACAAAAACCCGCAGACACTTGGTCCTCAGTGGAATGAGTTTGACACCCCTGGTGTAGAGAATACAGGGGCGCAACTTTCACTGGGGACTGAAATTGCATTTTTGTCTCCCCCAGTTTTATCACTGGAATGTGATACAAAACGAGGCAACGGTGTGCTTTAGGACCATGTGGATGCCTCCTAGTGGTCGGGTAGGCTATTTGGAGTGTTTATCAGACAAAAAAACTAAAACTACAAAAAAATGATTATGTCCCCCCCACTTCTAAAACCAAAGTGGCGCCCGAGATAAATATATTTTCAATAACCATCTAAACCACTGTGAAATATATGTTCAATAACCAAAATTGTATTTTTTTTCAGCTGTTTGAAACTGGTGTTTAAAACAGAAAGTAAAAGACGCAAAAACGAAACTTGAGAA